AAAAAAAAAAAAAAAGAAAGAAAAGGCCCGAATAGTTAAGATATGAACATAGTATGAAAGTGATATTCCATTAAACAAAATATAATCCTAAAAGAAATGGAAGAAGTCAAAATATATGGCTCAACACTAAATATAGCATAGAAAAAATACAAATAAAAGAAAAAAGTCAAATATCATAAGACACCAAAAACAAACAGCAAAATTTGACTTTCTTCCTCCTTCCAATCTCTTCATTTCTGCTCCTGATAACGCTTCCAGTTCTTCTATTTCCTCTCCCTGCCCTCAATATTCTCACTGCCATTGATTCAATTCTGACTAATAGGAACCCTATATGACAGAGTAGAACTGCCCTTGTGAATTTCTGAGACAGTAAATCTTGTGTTATCAGCCCAGCATGTAGCCCACTATGCCACCAGGGTTGTAATGCCATCAGGGTTAGAAAGTATCTATTGACTTTCTACAACACACAAATGAGGATTTGCTCTCATTTCTACCCTGCCATTCCATCCCCATACCAAGAAACTCTCATTTCCTCTATCTTCTCAATATCGTTATCATTTTTGTTTGTTAACTCAATATTCAATACTTGTAATATTCTCCTTGTATTATAACATTGTAAACAATATTTATAGTCCAGCCACATACAGTACTCTGTCACTTCAACCACATACAGTAATCTGTCATTTCCTTTCGTATACGATTTTGTTTTACTTGTTGATAATTATTCTGTAGTTTCACTTCTCTGTCTTCGTATTTGGATGTGAGCTAGTTGCTCCCTAGGCTTAATGCAAAACTGTCATCTTGAGAGTTCCCATGATTATTCTTGGGATTCCTTTGGACTCTTCTATGTTTGATTCATTGTCTTAGTTACCAATTGACTAGATTGAGCACATTATCCAGAGTAAGAAGAATACATATAAGTTAAGAATTTTGAGACTACATATCTATACACTTGATTGATAGTTTTGCTGGGAATAGAATCCCAGCTTGGAAATAATTTTCCCTCAGACCTATTTTCTAATCCTTTATTATGAAAAGTTTTATACAAAGAGGAAAGTTTAAAGAATATACAATGAGCCACCACTTAAATATAACAGCTACATGATTTTCATGTGTGCATTATCTTCTTAAACATGTAGTCCCAGGTTATGAATGAAATGTGTTCCTAAGAATGCCATTAAGTTGAATTTGTAGCTAAGTGAGAAGGTATTTGTATGGTTCTTATCTAGCCTTGCTTTAGTGCAGAAGGGATTACTCATTGGACTTCTAGTCAGCTGGGTTACACATTGGACTTCTAGCCAGCTGCTCTGAGGGAGAAAGATGAGGCTTTCTACTCCTATAAACAGTTAGAGACTAGGAAACCCACAGGGGAAGATCTTGCCTGTCTTATAGGGCATCAACATGAAGAAGGCCAAAATACTTACAACTGGGCCAATGAGTAACCTCATGATAAAGAGAGAAAAGATTGAAGTCAAGAATTTTGTCTTGCTTGGATCCACAATCAATGCTTATGGAAGCAGCAGTCAAGGGATCCGAAGATGCATTGCATTAGGTAAATGTGCTGCACAAGACCTCTTTTGAGTGTTGAAAATTAGAGAAGTAACTTTGAGGACTAAGATGTAGCTGATCCAAGCCATTGTACTTTTTTTGCCTTAGTATTTTAAATGGCCTCATATGCATGTGAAAGTTGGAAATTGAATAAGGAAGACTGAAGAAAAATTCATGTGTTTAAATTAGTGCTGGAGAAGAATATTAAAGTACCACGGACTGCTAAAAGAACAAGCAAATTTTGTCTCGGAAGAAGTCAGAAAGTTCTTTAGAGGCAAGGACAGCAAGACCTCACCTCCTGGACATGGAACATATTGTCAGGAGAGAACAGACCATGGGGAAGGACATCATGTTTGGTAAAGTAGAGGGGCATTGAAAAAGAGGAAGGTCTTCAACAAGATGGATTAGCTATGGTGACTGCAACAATGGGCTGAAGTATAGGAACAATTGTGAGGATAGTGCACGACCAAGCAGTGTTTCCTTCTGTTGTATGATTGCTATGAGTCGGGCCATCTTGATGGTACCTAACAACAACAACAGAGGGGCTCTGTGGGTCTGAATCAACTCATTGGCAGTATTTGGATTGAGTTTTAGGGCTAGAAGAGGCTTGTAGTCTTTTCAATGATTTAGAAGCTGCTTGTGCAGCAAGTGAAGGTAATGTGGCGAATGATTTTTTGCATCCAGGGTGTGGCAGTTACATAATCTACTGTCAACTTGAAAGAAGGGGTAAGGTCTAGCCTGTCAATCAGGTCATAGCCAATGAGACCTCTGTGTGGGCATGGCCTTCTTCTGAGGATTCTAGGAACTCCTGTCTTCCTCCCTGGAGGCGGGACACACATTCTCCCTGCTGGATATTCCTGTTGACAAGCCACATGGAGCTATGTTGATGGAGCCAGAGCCCCGGAGCTGGAGAAGCCACGTGGAGACCCACACCAGAGCTGAGATTCTTCTACCACCACTGGATCCGCTAGACTTTCCACCCACTGGACTGTGATCTTCCTGCATTTGGCATCATTGCATGTGTTGTGTGATTCTGAAAGGAATTTATAGACTGGTATTAGACATATTGGCTAATATCGGACTTATAGATTTGATCTGAACTGGGCTGGGATGTTTTCTTAATAAACAAATACCCTTAAACAAATACCCTTTGACATAAAACTCTTTCTCATACATATATGAGTGTCTGTGAATTTGTTTTTCTAGTCAATCTGGACTAACACACAGGAGCTGGTTCATAGCAACCCTACAGGACAGGGTAGAACTGCCCTCATGTGTTTCTGAGATGAACTCTTTACAGGAAACGAAAGCCTCATCTTTTCTCTTAGAATGACTGATGGCTTTGAACTGCTGACACTACCATTAGCAGCCTAGCACATAATTAACTCAATAGCATTGAATTTGGTATGGTTTTGGAGGGTTGATTCAATTGTCTCAAAGTAAGGGAAAATTTACATAACATTAAAAATTAAGTAGGACTTATCCATAAGTCAGACATTCATCAGCCAGGGACTTACTGTATATCAAACAACTTGGAAATAATTATTTAATAAATGTTGCTTTAATTTCAATGAAAAGTCTAAAATAAAAATTAACGACAGGCTAGTTATAGAAAATCATCAAGAGTCAACTTCATTTATCAGCTGTGAGGATTCAGCATGCCTATCAGAACCATTGCCTTCAGTTCTGGTGGGGAAAGTATTCTAAAACATGATTAATTTTAATCTCTAAATTTGCTACCATGTAGCTCATTAAAAAAATCTTATATAATCTTAATATTTTTGAAACAACCATACTCTTCCAGAGATTTTTGAATAAGTACAGCTTACAGAACATTTCTTTTTCTTATGTGAGAATTAAGTTGTTGGTATATTATCCTGTTATCTCTGAAATTTCAGTGTGTATAAGGGTAAGTCAAAAAGTATGGCCATAAGAGTTTCACTTCATGAATGCATGGGTTTATTCTAAAGAAAACATTCTTAATCATATCTCTGAGATTAGTGGATGACTGCAGACAAGTTCTCTGAGCAATACATTGTTGTTTTATTCTTGTTAGAGTGCTCTCACAAACAAACAAAAACATGATACTTTTTGTGCCATGAGATTATTTTGAGGTCGTGGCTAACATCAAATTTTTAACAAAATGCAAGTAGACAACTTCAGAAATCATGGAATCTCTTCAACAAGTTTACAGGAATGCTGCATTACATAAAACAACAGTTTCTAGATGACTCAGCATTTTAAAGAAGGTCAGGAAAACCTCAAGACAGAAAGTAAATTCAAGACAGAGTTCAACTCAAAAGCTTAGGGCCACTGTTGGATTCTACCCAGGTAATCTTGACAGATGTTCTCACAGTATATAGAATGATCATGGGGGCTTATCAGGAAGAAGTTTTAAGAAAATTGAATACTGCATTGGTGAGGGGGAAAAGTCAGAAATTGCACGGAGGTATTGTTTTTCCCATCCTGACAATGCATACTCATTCTTCAAGGGCAGTAAAGGCTGTCAAAAAGTAAAGGCAGTAAAGAAGAGATTCCATGGAAAACCTTATCGCATCTACTTTAAAGCCCTGATCTGGCCCCTTCAATCTTCTTTTTGTCACCCAAATTCTAAAGTGAACATGATTTAAGTCCCTTGATGATGCTAAAACTGCCATTTTGAATCAAAGAGCACAAAATTCTTTGGAGAAAGGTTAGATGGAAATGCCACCTCTTTATGATTTGTTTCTCTACTACCCCACTCTCGGCACCATAATGCGTTAGTCTGGGTAGCATAGAGAAACAAATCCACAGAAACGCTTATGTGTCTAAGAGAGAAAGTTTTATATAAAGGGTGAGTGTACATTCAGAAAGAATTCCAACCCAGTCCAGTCCCAGCCCATAAGTACAACATTAGCCCATATGTCTGACACCGATTGATCTATAAAGTCCTCCTCAAACTCACAAAACACATGCAATGATGCCGAGTGCAGGACGATCACAGGCCAGTGGGTAGAAAGTCTTTGGATCCAGTGGCGGTGTAAGCATCTCAG